ATATATAACCTTCTCCCATAAAACTGACCTGTCACATCAGTGTCGTTGTCATCGGAATCACACTCGCCTGGATCAAACACCTGTATCCCCTGAGCTTGTAGTCTTTGCAGTTTGGCTTCAAGGTCTCGCTTTGCTCTAAGCAAATCTTGGATCTCTTTTTCTTTTGTTTCTCTAAAGATCTTTTAGAAAAGGTTGGATATCACTATTTACAAAGCTACAAATGACAAAAGCTTACAAAAAGACTGTTGAGAAACATGTCTGATAGCAATAGGAGTTAAAGCAAACATGTGCTTTGCCCATGCAGGGCACAAGTATTGTCTGTTTCCTTTGAAGACTACAAAAAGGTTACAAAAAGATGATCAGGAAGTGTTTGTGCCTTGCTAGCACCAGGCTTCTCGAACTGTACTGGAACCACCTACAGAATCCACTAAGCTCTATGCACAGTGCACCCCTTGTGTACCCAGGTGCCATGTGTACCACAGAAATAAAGGCAATGTAAGTTCACAACAATATGTCTTAGTCACTTGAACTGTCTTGCATTTGGTACTGGCACACAGTGCCACTAAACACTCTGGGTGCACGGTCATAAGAAACGGCTGTTTCCGCTGAATTTAGCCTATAGTTGGGGGCAGACTTTGAAGACCTGCCTCTAACACTATTGTTCTTCATGGGGATAAGCTGCTTTTGCCTACAGTGCTCATCCTCTCCCCCGCACCTATCCTTAGACATAAACTTAGCTGGGTATACACAATTAGAATTTCAATTGAAATTCTGTATTTTTGGAACGTTCTATTTTTATCTAATAGTTAACAGGGTCAAATCAACAATCCATTTTGACTGTAGTGATGAAAAAATTACAAAAAGAGTAGGATGGAAAAAAAAATTCCGAATGAATGGAATTCTAGCAGAGAACGTGCTTTTTCTTCAAAAACTACATTCATTCCAAAATCTAAAGTTAAAATAAAACTAATATTTTGAATGACATTCGTCAAGTCTCTAGCATTATCGAATGTTCGAGATTTTTAATACAAACGTTCATACAAGATTCTAACCATGTACAGTATACCCAGCTGTAGCACAATGGAGTTTTCAGCACTCGGAAGATTTGCTGCCTTGAAGGGGATGATATCATGTTTGATCTTTGACCATATTTAAATTAAATCAGAGAAAAATGTCATCTACCATTTCAGACTTGTTTTTATAGGCACAGGCTCTGGGGCAGTCAGCCTCATTCTATATAGTAAATCAATGACCTGGAACAAGTGTTCAGATAGTGGCATTTAAAAAGTCTGATCTCCTGCCCTGCATATTTGTTCTAGATTACTACCTCAAAAGACCAGATTTCCTCAACCAGGGTTACATAGAACACTAGGAGGGTTACTCACAATGGAGCCGAAAGGATATAGCTGTAGCTTCGTCTAATCCTACGGCCGCCGGAGCCCTGCAATTAAGCCAAAATGAAGGGCTGCTTAACGGGCTAGTCACAATAGCCCCCATAGCAGCTGAAGGCAGCCAAACGTATATGCTTCGGCTTGGCTGCGCGGAAGTCAGAGCCGAAGCAGACCATCCTCCCTGCAAATGTAATTTTTTTTTTTAAGGCGCGGGGTCCCCCTTCTGAGGGATACCAAGTAAAAAAGTTTTAAAAAATAAATAAACCGCCGGTTGGGAACTTTAGGGGGTACCTCACATTTCCCCCCCATTTTTGGGGGGTGGGGTTTCCCCCCCTCCAAATTCCTACCAGACCTAAAGGGCCTGTTCTGACATTTGGGGGAAACCCCCACGCCGTTTTTTGTTCTTTTGTTGACATTTTTTAAAAATTCTGCTTACTACCTCCGAGGTAGCGAACAGAATAACCGAGTGGCATTTGGCTATTCACTCATTGCCGTTCGGCACCCATGAGAAGGCGAATGGCAGCAAGTGAACTGCCAGGTGTTCGGCTCAGCCAATCCAGATGTTGGATCGTCTCAGTCGAACGTGTGCTTCGCTTCAGCTCAGTCGAATATGCTCAGCATGCTGAATCGAAGGGAGCTGAAGTCAGCCAACGTAAGGCTGAAATCAGCCATATTCAGCTGAAGTTAATAGCCGAACGGCGTTCGGCTCCCTTCACTTCGGCTCGATTATTCAGTCGGATGTCTTGTGGCAGCTTAGTGGATAACCCATTAGGTTTCTCCAGAGGTTGCTAGAGGTTCTTTGAGCAATGAGCAATTTCTGCCTTCCAGATAAGTAACCACTGACACCAGTAATGTTTTGAGCCATGTGTAAGAGGGGTATTCTCCCCACAGTCCACTGATGTAGGAAGCATACTTGCCCTTGACCACCATGTTGTTCAGTGAGCTGTTGACATAGTAAATATTAGTAGAGGTGACTGAGAGATCAAAATTACTTCAGGAGTTGATAATGGGTGCAGAAGACAGCCCTTGAGCACTTATCTTTAAGAAAAAAAAGTCAGCAATGGCAGCTCTTATTTTTCCTTCACACAAACACAGAAGGACATGTTTGTAGTTCTTCATATATTTCACCCTCAGCCATTCATTTCATAGTTACCCAACTGGGGTAATACCATTAATTAAATGGAACTACCGAGCATATAAATAAGACATACAATTTCAACTCCTTTAATAGTCTTTATCACTCTTAAAATGCAGCCAGTTACTCTTACAAACTGCTTTGTATGTGTCTCTTAACTGTCCATCAGTAATCCATTGGTACCTTATCAAGTACTTGGCATTTGTTGAATTATTTCTCAGTAAACATTCACATACCTTAAACTGTCTTTTCACCTTATCTCTGTCATTTTCAAAAGTAGCAGCTCTCTCCATAGCCTGATATTTAGCTTCAACCGCATTTTCCTTCTCCCTGAGGATCTTCTGATATGTCTTCTGAAGAGCCTACAGTAAACCAAACAACTAATGAGCAATAACCTCTGTAGGACATAGTTTGCATTCATTTTGTCCCCACATATCGCATCATAATCCACTACGCCCCTGTGCATTTGACCAGAGATTGTAATGTAGTTGAAAGTTAAGAAATACAAATCAATGACACATTTCAAAAGTAACTGGATCTCTGAAACTGCACAGTGAACATGAGATGTGTATGATATACTTTTCCCAGATCTGTACATTTATAGCTATTCACTCTTAAAAAGGGACCTTATCTTTAGAAATAAGTTATTGATCTATAAGTATGTTCTAAGATACCGTATTTGACAAAACCAACTGTTGTCAGATGTACAGCTTTCCATAGCAGCAGTTGGCTTGTTTTTATGTATATATTTTATCCCACCTCAAACTAACGACTCAACCATCACGTTCCAAAACAATTTTCACCCCACACAGCTACCTCCTCATGTATCACTTGTCCCTCCCTTTTAGATAGTAAGCCCTCACGGGCAGGGCCCTCCTTACCATCTTGTCTTGAATTGTATTGTGATTGTACTGTCTTCCTTATATTGTAAAGCGCTGCACAAACTGTTGGCACTATATCAATCCTGTATAATAATATTAATAATAATCTAACAAATCCATTTTAAGATATTCAGATATTCATCAGTCTTCATTCAAATTGTTAAATTTCACCAAATGCTGCAAAGGGTATGCTAATGATCAGACTACCCTGCCTGTTATCAGCTAACAACAATACTGAAGAAGTAAGAGATGTCACGTAAGTTACATTTAGAGGTGCACTGAAATGGAATTTTCATACTTCAACAGAAAACCGAAAATTTGTCAGGCCGAAACCAGAAATTATTTTTTTTTCTAACCTTTTTCAAATTATTTTTTATTGTTTTTTTTTTTTTACTCTACTGTTGAGGGCCAAACAGAACCCTGATATTGCCCTTTTGAAATAGAAAAAGAGATTGAGGACATAGTGTCCTAAATCTCTTTTTTTTGCAGCTCCCGTTAGGAATGAATAGGAAGACTCTTTACTGAGTGCTCCTGTCCATTTATAAACTGTGGAGATAGTATGAGTTACTATGTACACAATCAGGAATGAACAGGAAGTGATGTAGAGCACTTCCTACTCATTTATAATTGGGGACAGTAAACATACTATGTCCCGATTTATTTACAAGCAGTCAGCAACCAGTCCTGATCGCTTGTACTCCGCTCTCCATCCTGACTCACTGTCACAGGAGGCTGCTCGGGTGGTGCGGGAGGAGAGCTCGGTCTCCTTTGACAGCTGACAGCTGTCTCCGGATATGCTTGTCACAGGCCGAGCAGGGGTGGTGCGGGAGGAGAGCGCGGCCTTCTGTGACACCGCTGAAAGCACTCTCCTCCCCGCAAAAACCATTGTAAGTCATTCAATCAGCAATTAAAATAGCTTAAAAAGCTTTTGCCAATAATATTACTTTAAATGCAGTTGTCAATGCTGGACACTCGGCTAAGCACTAAGACACTTGGATGCACCAGAAAAGTGTTCATTTGTACTGGTAACTGCATCCACCACAGATAGCAGCTAATTTTTCAGTGGATCCTTTTACATTTTGAAAAAAAAGAAAGAACTAAATACAAAAGGCCCTGAGCACAGAAACAAGGAAAAAATAAGTCCCATGCCTCCTGAGGATCCCTCAACCCAAAAAGTTAGTCTGTGTTCTCCAGAAACCCCACACTGTCCAAAATATGAAATATTGTTTGTCTTACCTGTAGCTCTGCTCTCAGTCTCTTGTTTTCCTCATCCAGTTTCACCTCTTTCTTCTGCATGGAAGCAATCTCATTGTTTTTGCTGACCCGGAAGATCTCATATTCCTTCTTCAGACGTTCATATTCAGCAGCATATTCAAGGTCCACTGATGCAGTGGATTTAAAACTAGCCCCAATCACCCATGGTCCACGTCTGAAAGAACTGCGCAAGAGGCGTGCCTTAGGCTTCACCTCCACCGGAATCTCACAAGCTTCTCCCCCTCCACCGCCATATGTATCCTCAATAACTTCTCCAGGGCTGACCATGGACGATGCTGTCCCCATGGTGGTAAATATATAGAAAATACTGCTACCTCTCCATTATTGCGGATTCTGAAAGATACACAATTATAAAATACTATATGATTCATTGTAATGGATCACTGCTTCATGTATTATTATATCCCACTACTTTGGATTTCAGCCAACAACAGAAGGGAGCTCACTTGATTTCTGGCAGGATCGACAGGTACTTTTCTCTACTTGTAGTGTTTTACAAGAAACAAATTATGGGAAAATGTGCATGTGCAAGAAATAAGTGCTGAATGACTCCCCCGTCCCCCTTCATTGGTGGTCAGTAATAATGAATACCCCTGGTCAGTGGCAGTGATATTTAACTCTGCCGTCATTGGCAGTCAGTGGTAGCATTATTTAACCCTCTTGCATTGGTGGTCACTGGCAGTGATATTCAACTTCCCTGCAATGGTGGTCAGTGGCAGTGATGTCTTTACCTCCCCTCATTGGTGGCCAGTGGTAGTAATATTTAACCCTCCTTCATTGGTGGCAGCAATATTTAACCCTCCTTCATTGGTGGCCAGTGGTAGTGATATTTAACCCTCCTTCATGGGTGGCCAGTGGTAGTAATATTTAACCCTCCTTCATGGGTGGCCAGTGGTAGTAATATTTAACCCTCCTTCATTGGTGGCCAGTGGTAGTACTATTAAACCCTCCTTCATTGGTGGCCAGTGGTAGTAATATTTAACCCTCCTTCATGGGTGGCCGGTGGTAGTAATATTTAACCCTCCTTCATGGGTGGCCAGTGGTAGTAATATTTAAGCCTCCTTCATTGGTGGCCAGTGGTAGTAATATTGAACCCTCTATTATTGGTGGCCGGTGGTAGTAATATTTAACCCTCCATTATTGGTGGCCAGTGGTAGTAATTTTTAACTCTCCTTTATTGGTGGCCAGTGGTAGTAATATTTAATCCTCCTTCATTGGTGGCCAGTGGTAGTACTATTTAACCCTCCTTTATTGGTGGCCAGTGGTAGTACTATTTAACCCTCCTTCATGCGTGGCTAGTGGTAGTAATATTTAACCCTCCTTCATTGGTGGCTAGTGGTAGTAATATTTAACCCTCCTTCATGGGTGGCCAGTGGTTGTAATAATTAACCCTCCTTCATTGGTGGCTAGTGGTAGTAATATTTAACCCTCCTTCATTGGTGGCCAGTGGTTGTAATAATTAACCCTCCTTCAATGGTGGCCAGTGGTAGTAATATTTAACATTCCTTCATTGGTGGCTAGTGGTAGTAATATTTAACCATCCTTCATTGATTGTCAGTGGCAATGATATTTAAACCCCCTGCATTGGTGGTCAGTAGCAGTAATATTGAACCTGTCTACATTGGCAGTCAGGGCCAGTGATGTTTTATCCCCATCCATTGGTGGTGAGTGGTAGTAATATTTAACCCTCCTACCTTGGTGGTCAGTGTTAGTGATATTTAACCTCCCCTCACTGGTGGTAAGTGGTAGTGATATTTAACCTCCCCTCACTGGTGGTCAGTGGTAGTGATATTTAACCTCCCCTCACTGGTGGTCAGTGGTAGTGATATTTAACCTCCCCTCACTGGTGGTCAGTGGTAGTGATAGTTAACCTCCCCTCACTGGTGGTCAGTGGTAGTGATATTTAACATCCCCTGATTGGTGGCCAGTGGTAGTAATATTTAACGCTCCTTCATTAGTGGGCAGTGGCAGTGATATTTAACCTCCCTCCATCAGTGGGTGTGATACTCAGCCCTCCCGGCATTAGTGGCAAGGGACAATGATATTTAACCCTCCTGCATTAGTGGCTAATGGTTACCTACTTGATCACATACTCTTGCACTGCTATCTTCCTACCCATGAAATCAGGCTGGAGCTATAATTCTACTGTCGGGCGGAGATCACTCCACCTAAAAGTACTTGTGCTTTTTCAGTGCCAGGTGTAGAAATTCAGAGAGCATTTCAGCCTCTGCCACCCTGATGCCACTAACATGCACTAAAGTGTCCAAAAGCCCAGGACTGCCCTGCACGTTTGGGGACGCTTGGCAACTATGTTGGAAAAAGAGGAAGGGAGGCTGTAAATAAAGCAAAACTCCAGCCACATTTTTTTAGTAGGGAAGGATTAGAATGTATGTCCCCATCAAGGAGATTTCCCTGCACTTCCAGTCCCCACATGCACAACAGAAAGTACTTGAAAATGCCTGCAAAATAAGGGGAAAGCCCGCCTCTGACAGTTGTCACCAAAGAAGATGTTGCCTCTACTCTGCTACTAGTGGCAACATTGTGGATTTCCCTTAACTCTCTACTCTGATGGCAGTGGTTCCCAGGATAAATAGTGATGTTAGAGCTGTCTATTGGGAACACAGAACAATGAAAGCCTGACAGAGGGTCTAGCCCTTCCCCACTCTATCCAAAACTAAAAATAAAAGAAGGAAGTTTAAGCTGGAGTCATAATTTTAAAGGTGTAGATAACCTGCACTGCATATGGCGTTATAACCTCGCACAATAGTGGTGCTCACAGTGATGGACACGGATGGTGACATGTAATCTCAAAGTACTGGATACATGCGTCATTAAAGCCATCATTTCATCACATCACCATGCTGAAGAGACTCTGCGCTGCCCCGAAACATTATGCATGACACATGTTCAATAAAGGACGGAAATTTACACTTCGAACCTTGTGAGTGCTGAGGATCTTCTTTCCAATAATTTTAGAGCTGATGCAAACTAGTGCTGGGCACGTGCCGAGCCCGCCAGGAAGCTGACAGCGCCAATCACAGGTACTGAGACATGTTCCCGGTCCGCAGCTGCAGAGATCGGTATATGTCTCAGTGCCTGTGATTGGCGCTGCGCGCTGTCAGCTTCCTGGTGGGCTCGACACGTGGAGCTGCAAACACGCCTGGGCCCATCACTAATGCTAACGAGCCTCATGCTAAAACAGTCCATATTAGTGCGCGGCTGGGTCTGCTGGGTGGCAGCGGTATGTTGCATTAAAACGTAGGGCACTGTCTACTCTTCTCAGCATAAATCCTCTATGTGTAAAAGTTTTATATAAACCTGACTTTTTAACCCTTTTTTTATGTTAGTGTTCCTTCACGCCAATGACAGGTGTTTTTCTCAACTGGACCAACTCCAGCCAGCACAAGGGCACACAAAAAACAATGTTTTCTATGGGCCTCAAGAAAAGAAAAAAAGGTCACAAGCACTCCAGCATGTAGAAACGTCAATGTTTATTGACTTCACAGGTGTCACATCATCAGAGCTCTGATAATGCTTCTATGGGCCTCAGTCACACTACAACGCTGGCGTGATGTGCGGTGTGGAAATATACAGACATGCTGCATTCTCCTGCAGCACCATCCACTTTGTACACTGCCAATAAAGGTGAAAAAAAATATTTTTCAGCTTTATTGACAGTGTACAAAGCGTACACTCCATTCAGGTCTGCACAGAGCAGCGTGGTGTGTTGCAGTACAGTCACCTCCAATGACATCCAGTGCACTGTGCTGGACTTTTCCGCACCGCACATCACGCCAGTGTTGTGGTATTAATGAGACCCATAGAAAACAATTGTTTTTTTATGTGCCCTTGCGGTGGCTGGAGTCGATCCAGTAGGGAAAAACACCAGTGATCGCAGCTGGTGTGAATGAACCCTAATAAAAAAGCAAAAATATGACAATAAGATGAACAATTCAGATTGATATACAACAAATCTATAAAACTAAGCATTATGTCAGCAAATCAGAACAAATGGCAGCTACAGAAAATTAATTTACTAATGTAGTTAGCAAAACTTAAGACCTTTGGGGAGTTACATGACCCGTTATCTTCTATAGTAAGGTGTTTCCGCATCTTTGTCATTATTACTTCACTCTATCGCCCCGGGAAAAAGTAAATAACAACTTACTGTCTGGTTGCCACGGAGAGGGGAGACTCATCAACACTGCTGGCAAGTTACTGTCAGCATTGCTTTCGAACGATAAAGTTTATCGTGTTTAAAAAAAAAAAAGCGGACGTCTCTTGCTTGGAAGGGACGTGGCTGGAATGTTCGCTTCCGGTTGGTTGCTATGGAGCTTTGTGAGCTGCCTTGGTAACCGTATGCGAGCGAGAACACCGACGCATCCTTGTGAAATATTATCTCGGGGTGTTTGGAATAACGATCAAAATGACAGCTTTGCAGATCAAAGACGGGGAGTACACTGCAACCATCTATAAAATGGTGAGGCATGGCCTCGATTGTGAGCAGGCTATCATCACACACCTAATATGACATCTCTACCTAGGTATTGCATGGGGTTAAGTATTTGTATTGCAGTTTTGGAGGGGGAGTGTGGTACTGTTAAAGTGTAAGTCCACCCGTTTTTTTGCATAGCGTGGGAATGTTTTTTTTGCTGTGTCCCAATCATAGAGATTTCCCTGCACTTTCTGTACCCAGAGATACAACATGAAATGGAAAACCCAAAATAAAAGGAAATGCACATCTGACATTTGTTATTGGAACAAGTGCCCTCTGCTGCTGCATACTGGACTTGGTCAGCCTAAAATGTTGGGAATCAGGAAAACAAACTACCCAAAGAGGTGACAGACTGCACTACCCTGTTTCCCGGAAAATAAGACCTACCCCGAAATTAAGACCTAGTACCATTTTTGGGAATTGCTAAAATATAAGACCTACCCCGAAAATAAGACCTAGTTGTGACCTTTCCCAGGGCCGGTGGTGGCATAAGGGGAACTTGAAGAGTCGGGAGAGAATCAGCGGTGCCAACAAAGCCAGCGCTAGGGGAAGCAAGGCAGCAGAGGGAGCAGAGCCGCATAAGCCGATGCTTCCTCTATAGCGCCGGCTCCTGTCACAGGCGGAGTGATACCAAATGCACTCCGCCTGTGAGGAATCCATAGTAAAAGTGTGCTTCGCTCATTCTGGTTACCAAATTGCTCTTGGAAAGGTACGGCACCTCTGATTGCCCTGATCACCCTATTCTTAACTGTGCCATTTTGGATTATTTAATTTGGATTTGCATTAACTTTGGATT